GAGTAATACGGAGGATATAATACAGTCATATCATTTGCTCGCTTTAAATACTGGTGGAGAGCGGGTTTGGCACCGCGCCAAACGCAGCCGCACTGAACCGCCCCGACAGTACGTAATGATGAGGACTGTACACTTAGGACCCTTTCTGAGAGGTGCAGAGTTTGTGAGTTCAGCTGCAAATGAGCTAGCAAATTCATCGAAACTTGCTGAATAATGAAACGTGCAGCGGTTTTGTTTCTTACCATGAGGGAATCGCCTGGAATTCTATTTTTTACTGACGTTGTTGGAAACAGCTGATAATGCGGAAATGTGAACGTTTCCGATGGATTCATTGATTCGCTCGTTCATTCTTCAATGCTTCCTTGCATGCACACACATAAAACACATATCACTAAATGCGTATTAATTTAGCTACATAATGATGCTTCTTCTGGTGGCTCTTCTACTGGGTGCTGCCTATCTATTTCATTTATACTCCAAGCGGCAGCGAGTAAGTTTATAGCTCCATTAGGTATATTCCTTTTTGTGAGTACGTAGGGTTGTCTCTCAAACTGATGCGGTTTTCTAGTGCAGATAGAATCAGTTGGCGAGATCGGATCAATTTCTCTTCGTTTTTTAAGGACAGTTCCCGCGATCAAATGATCAGCCAAATGCCGCCATGCATTCACCCTCTAGGTCCGCACTCGCATAATGTGTAACCTTTTCGCCTCTCGAAAAAGCGAGGTTAAGCGGCCACAAACGCTTGACTCTTGCACTCTTTGTTTCTTTCATTCTGCAAAACAGCGACTTTTACTGTGAATTAAGTGTATGCATTTTGTTGTGTGCAGCGTCGTAGAACGATTTCATATTCCTGTCGCAGAGAATCTCAGCCCCTTGGATAATAAGCCGAAGAGTGCGAAAGTGCCTGCACCTCTGTGTATAGCCCTTTCAAGAAGCGAAAGTGGTACACTTTATGGGAGTGCGGATTAGATGTTGAATGCACTGAAGCATTTTAGTGATCACTTGCTCGCGGAAACTGTCTTTAAAGATCGTCACTGTTGAAAGTGAACTATGAGCCATTTCATTGATTACTCTACGAGTTTCTCATTTAGAGACAAAAAGAACTGCACTCCGTAGTTGAAAAGCGAGACTGCGAGCGATCCGAGTCATTTGCTAAAGCAGAAACTTCGTGTGCTAAGCTAAATCCGGCAAAAAGAGACAGAATTGCTGCCTGGGATTTCAAGGAGCTTAGAGGTAGGTATTTCAGTACGTGGACGTTCATCTTGTTCTAGGTTTGGCAGTGCTTGCCCTTCAGTCTCTTCGAAATTCAAATCGAATTTTGGTAAATATTTGTCTGCGTGATTAGCGCTATCTACAAGTTTATCGTCAGTACAGAAGCAGATCTACCGCCTTGCCAGAGCCTTGCTCCAGAGCAGAGACAAAATTTCCCAGCACCGAGGTTCATTAAATCTAACTGGAGTGCTCCTGTATGACTTTGAGAAAATCAGGAAGCGCTGGCAAGATTACTTCCAGGAAATCTGCAACGTCGAGTATCCGCATCCGGCGCTTCCAAATGAACCACCGACCCAAGGGCCCATCCCACGTATCACCGAGGATGAAGTTGAAGGTGCCATGAAGATGAAGAACAGGAAGGCTACTGGTCCAGATGACATTCCCGTTGAAGTATGGAAGCACTTCGGAGGTCGCTCCTATCTAACGCAGCTTTTCAACAAATGCCTGGAAGATGGAGTGATCCCGACGGACTGGTCAAAGAGTGTCACCGTGCCAATATATAAAAAAGGGAGATATCGCTAACTGCAGCAACTACCGACCGATTCGCCTAATGTGCCACACTTTGAAAGTTTTTGAACGTGTGCTGGACGCCAGGCTGAGGGAAATAGTTAACATCAGTCGGATGCAGTGCGGATTTCGACCTGAACACGGGACCACAGACGCCATCCACGTTGTTCGCCGTCTGATGGAAAAGGCTAGAGAATGGAACAAGCCACTTCATTTGGCTTTTCTGGATCTGGAGAAAGCCTTCGACAGAGTGCCGCGTCAACTCATTTGGGAAGCTCTTCGGTATCAGCAAGTTCCAGAAGCACTCATTAAGGCAGTCCAGCTGACCTACTTGAACTCTACAACCTCCATCCGGACACACTCCATCGTTCCGGATTGCTGTTGGTGTTCACCAGGGATCGGCTCTTTCGCCACTGTTGTTCATTCTCTGTGTGGACTACGCTACGAGGAACACCAGAAAAGAGCACTTGACGCTGGGATATGCTGACAATGCACTGCTGATGGGCAGAAGGGAAATTTGAACGGCGCATCAACCGCTGGAAGAGTGATCTGGCCAACCACGGACCCGGCTTAATATAAGCAAGACGGAATATATGTGCACCACCAACAACATCGTCAATCGTAGTCGATGGAACACCACTCTCCAGAGCAACGACGTTTCCGTATCTCGGATCTACGCTTGCCGCGGACGGAGATGCCAAGGCCGACACCACTGCAAGAATCAACGCTGCATGGAGCATATGGCGTTCTCTGTGATAAGAGAATAGCGATACGTGTTAAGTCAAGCATTTACACTTCAGTCATGAGACGTCGCCATCTATGAAGCCGAGACGGAGCAGATGACGGCCGAGGAAACAAGAGCATATGGTGTTATGGAGATGAGAATGTTACGATGGAGCCTGGGACACACGCGACTCGACCGAGTCCAAAACGAAGCAATCGCAGACGAGATGAAGGTCCAGCCATTTGCCAACTCCTTTGCCGCATCTCCGCTGGTGTGGTCACGTTCAACGAAGGACCTCCTGATGCTGTCCGCTGATAAGATCGTCTTTGCCGGTAAACGTCCAAGAGGCCGACCTAGCACGCGGTAGAAGACAACTTGAAGAAATGACTGTTACTGGTCTGTCCGCAGCCGATTCTATTAACAGGGACCGTTGGAAAGCGTTGGTCAAATAGGGCGTACACGACACAGTTGGACACGAACGCTGAGAAGCTGAAGAAAAAGATCGTCATAAGTCTTGCCCATTGGACACGAATGTCACATCCGCATGGCTCGAGATCGGCTGGCGCCGCACGGACCAGGAGTGAGTGACAAAACACTCCAAAACGCAGAATTCGCTGAAAACCAGCTGCGAGGGACGCTGGCTCACCGGAGAAGACATTTTATCTGCTTGAGAAGGCCTTGGCTACATACGTAGCGAGCACTGGCGGTTGGTTCATCATCATGCTTCACGTGCTAGGGCTTATTACCCGCTGTTTCAAAGCAGTTAGACCAATCCCAGAGATAAACATCTGATAATGTGTGGTCCGGTTTTCGAAGGGTGGGGATAGTGCAGCGAAGGTTAGTGCTTTACATGCAACAATCAGGGTCGAGATAGGGCTGAGAAAGTGTCTGCCAGTATCTTTACAAGTGTTATTTATCAAATGCAATTTTACCCTTTGTGTATGAGCCTGCCAAGACTGTCGAAGGCCTTTTGAAAATAATGTGGGCCTTGAAAGGGGTTTGTAAGTCTATCTTCTGAACCCTGTTTCGTAGGTGTATTTGTGCTGCTGGTTGAAGGACTTTTGAACATATTCGGTTGAACGCGGCACGCCTGGTGCTTTTGATGGGCCAGAGTTATACTCATTGCGGCCTTTAATTAGCGTGCCCCTTTCTCGGTAGGGAGTCAAAAAGAGAAGGACACATTAAGAGTGGACGAGTTCGGTAGGCCCAGGCCCATCCAGAATCTCGTTGTCGATTATGTCTTGTAGGTTCCGCAAAATATCTCGTGTTCAATGAAATTAGTTCCGTGTAGGGTATTTTGAGAACCTATACAGGAAACACAATGCCTTTTGATACAACAGCTCCGCAATATATTCGTTTCATGTCACGCATTGGGCGACTTTTACGATCGTAAAAATTGCTTTACCGAAAGCTGAGACAGATGTGCTTCTAAGTTTCGATTGACGGAACCAAACCAAACCATGAGATGTGTTTCTTACCGATTACTCATGAGTTCATCTAAAATAGCCAACGGACCATATGAATCAGAAGGGTAAGCACAAGAAAGGAAAGGGGCCGGAACGGGGCGGGGCGGGCGTGAGAAAAACTAAGAAAACGTAAGAGCAGTAGCATGATAAAGAAGTCAGGCACACCTTTCAAGTGGTGCTCTAATCTGGAAGCAAAAGGGGTTGTTTCCATCGCGCATAATTGTAAAGTGCGGCAACTGCCGGCGAGAGATACGGTGAGAGACAGTGGATGGAAGTGACCTAATATGTGTGACAGTCACAGAAATATACAGGCCGGCTCGGACTAAGCTGGACTATATTTTGTGGCTTCGCTTCGGCTTCGGGAGGTGGACAAAACTTTTCAAGTGGATAAGTTTCCAGCGATAATTGCCTAGGTAGGGTTCCGAGATTTAAGCTTTGCGCCGGCACTAGCGAACTAGCCAATGAAACTAGCCAGACTCTCCTGGCTAGTTGACCCGACAGAGTAACACTTACACATTAATCAGTTTTGCAAGAACGATGCCCTTATGATGCCGCTTTTGCATGTTGCTTCCTCCAGCCACTTCATGGCCAACCTCCCTTCCGAACTGCATATTCGATCGAATTCCACTCAATTGTGTTGATTGATGGATATTCGGGTGCCGATCCTGAAGCCATAAGAGTTCCTTCAATCGGGCGAAAGCACAAAATGATTGATTACCGATTGAAGGGGTAAGTAAACACCTTAGGTACGAGAGCAGAACACTGCCCTCACTGGAATGGAGGAGAGGGCGTTGCAGACGCCAGCTCGTAGATTTGTCCGTAACTACGCATTACCAGCAACGGTAAAGTATTAGGTCGATGCATACACTTTACATCACCGCAATTGTTGGGTCGCAGTCAGCGGCTCGCACCTGCGGCGTTTCCATCATTGGTTGCTCCCTCCCTAAATCGATCTTTACCCGATCGCCATTGGTAGAGCAACGGGGCCGAACGCCCATTTTACGCGTAGTTGCACAGCCGCCCTCCGGAGGCACAGTCCGCCCAGTGATGAGGACGTGATATGTTTTTCCCGACTTTTTTGTAAATATCTCAATAGCGACCAGCCTGAAGATTAGAGGTATGCACCATCACCATCCACTACTCGACGCGAATGCTCAGGCAGCTTGTCGATTCCATCCTCCCAGAAGGACGGGGCTGGGACCTGAAGAAGGCCACAATGCCGCGCAACTGTGACGTGATTTCACAGTGGTAATTGTGCGGCATTGCGGCCTGCAAATGCACGGTAGGTGAGTGATAGTTAGTGTGATGAAAGAGTATCATGCACACGACACGCACATGTAATGGCGAAATACCAACATCCATGCAAACGAAATTACGGAAAGGATCAAGAGCAGTGGGCCACATTCAACCTAATACATACTTAGATCACCGCAATTGTCGGGTCGCAATCAGCGGCTCGCACCTGCGGCGTTTCCATCATTGGTTGCTCCCTCCCTAAATCGATCTTTACTCGATCGCCATTGGTGATAGAAGCAACGAGACGAACGCCCATTTGGACCGCGCTGCACAGCCGCCCTCCGACAGTCCGCAATGATGAGGACTGTACAGTCCACGCGGGGCACCTAGGCGGAAACTCCTAGCTGTTCCACCATTCTCATTCGAGTCCCGCCTAAGCGCTCCGTTGCTGATTCATATCAGGAGGCGCCAAGAACAAGGAGTATACAATCATAATTCATAAGTACCTGGGCTGCATCTCCACTATGAGGCAGCGTCCTGCTGTGACCTTCGTAGGTTGTCCAAGATTCTCTTAGAAAAATTCTGGTGGCTACCATCGGAAACTAAAGGATAAAGCATTACGTTTCGTTGAGAGTTAGCTCTTTCATATCTTTCTTGCAGAAAATCTTCTGAAGGGAAATGTAACATGCTTGGAAGTGTTGCGTACGTACCAGTACAAGGCCCTCCTAGCGCACGCAAAAACAACATGTGTCACCGCTCTTCAATTAAGGTATAGACTTGTTAGGTTACTTTTTCACTATATCAAACTTTCCTTTTCACTCTGAACATTATAAGCGTTTTATCAGCAGAAGAATAAGTGTTAACTGTTGTGATTACAGGAAGCAGAACGTTGGGCTGCTGAATGGGATGAGAAGGCTACTGCTTCAAATTTCGTTAAACCGCCATTTTTCGGCATTCCAATAAGTCTGAAGGAGTGTATTCCTGTAAGGACATTTTCATTGTTTAAAAGGTCATTCAATATTCGTGGCGAGCCGGGCATGCCGGACTGACGCAGCCTCCTTTAGTCGAAAGGAGATAGACAGGTGTGGCTAATGAAGAAAAGTACAGTACATGTACCGACGTTCGCTTAATGCGATCGCGTGAATGCTGCCTGAGTGATTTTACCTTTCCACAATTTAATTAATGTTCAGCTGGAAGGTACGACGCAACTCGCGGCTACGTACAGGACGTAGGGAAGCCATCGAAAATCCGATCCGGTGCTCATTCAACAAATTAAGCAGCTGGGTTAGTATTGCTCACATTGAGCAGGATGAGGGCTCATTGCGTTCCTCCTGACAACGCCGCGACTGCTTGCTACGACATATCGTCAAACGTGACTTTTTTGCGTTGCAGGTTTCATTCCGTACGTTCAGACCAATGTCCCGCAGTCGTTACTATCCTATGAGCCTGCAGCATCCTATCTGACGGTAACTAATTCTACCAGCGAAGCTTTTCACGCATTTCACTCTTGGCAGGTTGCCAAACACAAATCTAATCTACACTCTATAAATCTCCCTTCAGGTAGAACGAATCACCACTGGACAAACTGCGAATCATCCGGGTGGCATTCCTCAGCGCGTGAAGTGCGTTCTGCCGCCAGACGTCTCTTTATCGAATTGGAGGCGGACGATGGTGTTCCATCAGCGATCCATGTAATTTTACGGAATGGCCCGGTATAAGAGCGATACACTTTTCCCTGCAGTTCTAGTTCCGCTAGCTGATGAGGCGGCCGTGTGTCAGCAGGATTGTACTCGCCACGGACCAAACGTTTTTCCATCAGATTTTGCAGCGAACAAGCGACGATAATGTACCATTTCGGTTCTATAAATAGTTTTCCAACACGTGTTGACGCTTATCCCTTTCAACAATCGGTGGAGAAAGAGGCAGCGGTGCGCCAATCCACCCTATTTGCAGGCCATGTCATCTACAGTGAACTCTGTATTAACAGCTGAAGGACAATGCTCAAACAGTCCTCCTGTCGTATTCGGAATAATATTTACCTCAACCAAAAGTTACTTATCCTCCTTTCCTCCCTAGTCTCTTTGTGGTTCCACATGGAATGCACTCCATATCTTCAAGATAGTCAGGGCGTGTTCGCATACTTTATTTGGTTATGGTGTGAGATCCGCTCTGCGTGGGATATCTCAACAACTGTCAAACTGTCTTCTAGTGGACAATAAAATGGTTGCAAATTAGGTTTTCAGCCTGGCTCTCCCCATCTCTCCGATGAGTCTACGTGCAGTCATTATCCCTGCAAACGAGGAAGCGTGGATCGAAGCACTACCAAGGCAGAATTTTCCACATTTGATGGCATCCTGAGCCCGTAGCAAGTGGTAAAAAAGACTGTCCTGGCTGCGCTTTAATGAACGCTCCTTCACACGTCTTTTCTTTGAAGGGATAGTGACTGTATGGGTCACTTAGCTCCACTTTGACTAATGCGTGTGTGTCGGAAAGTACCAAGTTCATCGGGAGCAGGGTGTAATTGAGGATACATTTATTCCAGTTCCTCCACGGGGGAGAGAGCGGGTTGGAGGTGGAGACCGTACAGAGTGCAATGAATCAATTAAGTAGTAGATTTTGAAGCAGTGTCAGTTTTCCGGGCACCATACTTTCCGAACTTTCACCTCCTTTCAGCCATCTCATCTTCGGTTTTCACACCGTGGCAATCCGGGAGCAGTACCAGGTCGCCCGCTGATCAATGCCAATGAAGGACCTATGGCGAAGGATATTCGGACATCGGTGGAATTTCTTAGAGAGGTACTCAAACTACGGTACAAACTATTTAGCAACCACCGCTGTCTTCATTTTGACCTCTCCATTTGCACGTGTACATTGAAATACTCATTGATTTTGCGTCTGTACAGTGGGTATCTCTTCCGACGTACTTGTGATTATGGAGTAGTTTGCAGAGTGACTCTGCTCGCGAAAAACTCTAATGAGAAACCCCGTTCACATAGCAAGCAGGGTACAGCATCGTTGTGCGGAGCCCATCGAGGGGTCGTACTTGGTCGCTGGAAGGGGAGAGGGTCATAAACCTATTGTGCTGTTTGGTGCAGGTTAATGAGCACCATACTGCACAAAAGTGTCTTCGCTAAGCTTGATGGAGTGGACGGAAAGCTTCAGAAGACCCAGATATAAGGAAGACTAC